GGAGACCTGTCGGCACGCCGTGAGGGCAGTCATCTGCCCTGTGGCCCCAGGTCGCTTCACACTGTTTGCATGTGGGCTGGAGCTTTTTGTACAAGTGCCGCTTCCCACACAGAGGGAGGAGAATCCTGGGCAGGGACTGCGTGGGCCCATTCTGGCTGCGAGGTTTTCAAGGCTGCCTGGAGCTGTGACTGCAGCCCTGTTGCTGTCTGTGGTGAGGCATGCTCGGTGCTCTGACATCATAGGAGCATTTCCAACGGCTTTCAGCTCTGCCCAGCACTGGCAGTTGATTTACAGTGTGCAAATATGCTGTGGCGGTGATCCTCAAACCAGGGCTGCTGATAATTGCTCCTTGCAGGGCTGGACCCAGTTTCTCCCACAGGCTCTCCCTGCCATCTCCCAAACAAGCAGTAGGCTCCCTACAAGACAGGTTTCTGTTTTGCTGCCTGCAGACCTGCAGACAATGGACACCACACACTGGGAGCATTATGGCAGCTTGCTTCTGCCTGCTCCCTCATGAACTGCTGCCCAGGGCAAGCCCACCCCTAAGAAACAATCCTAACATAGCATGGTTGTCTTCAGCCAACTGTAGGCGTGGAATAGTCTTGCACCTCTCACCAGATGATGGCAACTTTTATGAGAGAGCATTGTTAGCGTGAGGGCGTTGGCTGGGTCTGTCAAGAGAATCAATTACAAAATACGCTGGGTAGGGAAGGGAGTTTCATTTCTAATTCTCTTTTGCCAGTTCTGATCTCTTGCATAAGAAAGATTTTTCAATCCAAACACCAAGCTGAAGATAGAAATATTTTGGGAGGAGATTATAGTAAGCAGCAGAGTTTCTTGGATGGTCAGAGCACAGTGGCGCCAGAAATAGAAATTACCAGGCAGAGCACGTCCTTCCAGAGGGCAGGTGAACCCATGGTACAGAGGACACAACTTTTCCAGAGGGAAGATCTTATTCCCAGCAGCCTGAAAGCTCTTAACTAAGGCCACCGGCACATTTCTTCTAACATCCCACATTGTATCCTTCTGCAATTTAGCAGTTGGAGATGTTCCCATTTGAGATGGGGCATTCACTCTATACGTGGTGAAATCTCTGCACCAAAGATCTGAAGATGGTACATAGACGAGGAGACCATAGTTCATTGGAAAGTACAGACATTTATCTGAAGTTCACAAACCACCAGGGAGATAACAGCATATTGCATATGGTCTATGCAGTTAAGATCAATTCAAATACTATTCCTTTTCTCAATGCCTGATTGAGAAAGATCAGGGAAATCACAGGAAACGTAAATGCAATTCTAGTGGCAGCTGTATGTGAAGTTATTGGGTTTAAATTGGTACAGGAGTGAACAACACTAATTCCATAAATGAAAGGGCATCTGTTAGCTTAGGTCTTTCAGACCTAGGCATGCTCAGGGTAGAACAAAGCTAAATCTCTTGCAAGCATCTTCCTGGTCCTGAGTGAACTTCCAGTGGCCTTGTCCTCAACCTCAGAAGATCATCTGTTTCAAAATTGACCCCTTGCCACTTGGTACAGTGGTGAGAAAGAAGATTCAGCACAGGGGATTTTCTTTCTTTGAGGTTACAAGGTTTGTGTTTATTTGTTTAATAAAATAATTCCTTTTAGAGAAATAACTTTCCTGTGCAAAGAGGAGGAGAGCAAATGGACTTGTACCTTTAGAGCTTGTTGAGAAGAGCGGTTTCCTCAGTACTTCAAAGGCTGCCTTTAAGACTCGGTCAACTAATGCTGGATTGAATACAACCTGAGCCAAATGCCAGCACAGCTTTTTAGCTGGACTGCACTTGAAGGTAACTGGTGAGGATACTGAGATATGCTGAGGAGTTGCACAGAATGTATAGGGATGTTGGTACCCGCCAGGTCTTCTGCTGTGTTTGCTTCATGTACCTCAGTACGCATCCCTGCTCTGTATTGCTGCACTCCAGCACCTCAGACACTAGTGCTTCTGGAGGAACAGGCACATATAGCAGGCATCTGTTGGCTATATCCCAGGCATACAGTCCAAACAAGCCTTGCCTTGCCTTATGGCATGCTGAGCTTTCCCTGCTATTAGCCATAATTTGGCCTGATTAAACACTTCCCCAGATCCCTCAGAGCAGTGTTTTCAGAGGGCTTGCATCAAGCAGCAGGGGTGACAGTCTACCCTACTGCCTGATGAGACAGGGAAGTTCTGGCTGCTTGGTGAATCCTAGTGCTCCATGGTGGGAAGATCTGTGGTCCCCACTGAGATGGTCCTTGTCCATACCATCCTACATGCAGGCAGAGTTACTGCAAGTGAGGGACACCCGCGTGCTGATAGACATTGAGGCTACTTGGAGCCATAGTTGCAGCTCTGCCAGTGACTGCAGCAGGGCAATCTCATGACAGCTGGTCCTTTGGCACTGTGGGAGCATCTCCAAAGGCTGGCAGCTCTGCTGAGGCCTGGTGTCTCGCTGCCAAACAGGCCGTACCTGCAAATCCTGTTAGGTCAACTGCCACAAGCACTGTTTCCAAATGGCAAGTCCAAATACAAGGCACAAAGTTCTTGATAGCAATCTGCCTTCAGGCTTACTAGTTTTCATCCTTGGAGCAACACACTCAGAGGAAGGCACAGCTGCAATCCTCCTCCTTTGGATGTTACTGGTATTGTAGTGGCATATCTGTGAGCAGGGATTTACTAGAGAAATATGAGAAACAACTATAAGTCAGGTCATATGCAGCCATTTCCTAGCTCATGTGGAAGGACTCAAATGTAAGAGTACATCAGATAGCCTGCACTTGGGGGCATGTGTCTTGCAAAAGAAATTAATAGAACAGCTCAGGGAAGTGTTAAATAGCATGGCCACTTCACTGTTGCAAGACAATTCAGTTTGTCACTAGGCCTGAAGTCCTCAATAACATGTCTATAAATATCTAAGGTGTGGGAGGCAAAGGGATGAGGCCAATCTCTTTTCAGCAGTGTGTGGCGATAGGACAAGGGGAAACCGCCACAAACCAAAGCATAGGAAGTTCTGCACAAATGTACCTAAGAACTTCTGCATGGTAAGGGTGATGGAGCACTGGAACAGGCTGCCCAAGGGAATTGTGGAGTCTGGAGATATTCAAGACCTGTGTAGACACCTACCTGTGCAACCTGGTTTAGGGAGCCTGCCTTGCAGAGGGCTTGGACTAGATGATCTCTAGAGGTCCCTTCCAGCCCCTACAATTGTGTGATTCTGTGATTTAGGCATCTCATTATTTTTCTCAGTGGAAGTCAGCGTGGTTATCATGACCAGAAGACCATTGTACATCAAGAAATGAGTGATCCACAGTGATTCACAACTAACCTGAGCACGACTAGGCCTGTGCCACATTGTACATACGGCATGGCCTCCAGGCCTTCTGACTGCAGGACTCACTTGGTCATCTGTTCTTAACTAGAGAAGTCTGTGAGCAACTCCCATTTGGTACTGGTGAGCATGCTGCCTTTCCTGTACATGGCCTTTCCTGTACAGTAGAATTGTAGGACACTTTGAGTTGAAAGGGACCCACAAGGAGCATGGATTCCATCTCCTGGCTCCACATAGGACCGTGCAAAGTTCAAACCACATATCTGAGAGCACTGTCCAAGCGTTTATTGAAGGCCTAGTACTGACCTTGCAGGCGTAGTGCTGACCACTGCTCTGGGGAACCTGTGCCAGGGCCCGACCACCCCCTGGTGAAGAACTGTTTCCTAACACCCAACCTGACTCTCCCCGACACAGGTCCATGTCATTCCCTCAGGTTCTGTTACTGTCACTAGAGAGCAGAGACCAGTGCTGCCCATCCGCTCCCCTTGTGTGGACCTATAGGCCACCACAAAGCCTCCCCTCAGCCCTCTCTGTTCTGGACTGAACAAACCATGGGACCTCAGCCACTCCTCACATGTCTTCCCCTCTAGACTCTTCACCATCTGTGTACCCTTCCTTTGGACATACTCTAACAGCCTATACTGTGGTGCCCAAACCTGCACACAGAAGTCAAGGTGACGCCACACCAGAACACAGCAGAGCAAGACAATCCTTCCCCTTACGTGGCTTGCAGTGCTGGGCTTGGTGTACCCAAAGGTACAGTTCACCCTTTTGGCTACCAGGGCATGCTGCTGACTCATGTTCAACTTGCCATCAGCCAGAACACCTAGATCCCTTTCCACATGGCTGTTCTCCAGCTTCTTGCTCCCCAGTCTGTGTGTACAGCCAGGGTTGCCCCATCTGAGGTGCAGAATTCAGCACTCGCTCATTAAATTTAATGTGCCTGGTGACTGCCCAGCCCTCTAATTTGTCAAGATCCCTTTGCAAGGCCTCTCCACCCTTAGGAGAGTCAACAGCTCCTCCCAGTTTATTATCAACAGCAAATAACTTGTTAGATATTAACAGTGCAGCAAGTTTTCTTGCACACATCATTTCTCCCTGATTATAAACATGAGCTGTTTCCCTTCAGAAAATCCAGTAATAAGTTCAGTGACCAACAGAGAAGGATTTCTGCTACGTGCTATCTATATAGCATTGTGTACATGGGTCAGAGTCCTGTCTGATGCTCAGTATCTAAATGGACCTGAGACTATCAGTGCTCTTAATGTTAGCTCAAATAGCATTTTTGAATTGTTGCCTCGCCAAGTCTTAGTCTTTCTTACTGGGATCACAACCAAACTGCACCTCCCTGCAAATACAGTGACCATCTCTAGATATGAATGTAAGCAGTAAGAGTACTTCCCACTGTCACACAGGCTGCTTTACAATACTTGAAAAACACTAACAGTTTACAGACTGTAAAAAAAGTTCATTGCTTTCTGAAGTTACTTAATGTGTAGTAATATGACTGGCAAAGCAATGCACAGATCTGCTCTTAAAGCAGATGCTTATTTTAATCAGAACACATTGTTTCTCTACTCAGGTCAAAGCCCTTCTGCTCCCAGGTCAGATGCTGAGATCAGACTGTGCATTAAAACCCAGCAGCTGTAATGTGAAAACAAGAGACAGTATTTTCTAAACAAATGCATTTTTATTTTGTTAAAAAATAAGAGTTACACTTGCACCAGTGGCTTCTTAGTAGTCAGAATGCCCTTCTCAAACAGGAGCGTAGCTAGAGAAATCTTGTCCTCCAAGGCATCACATGGGAGGGTATCCACGCTGACGTGGTTTGGATAGGAGGACAGGAGAAATTCAATACTGTCTGTGTACTCAGGATCTATCTCAAGGTACTTGGGGTCTTCCTTATGATACACTCTTGAGTTTTCTGTTGTGTAATATAGCATCATGCCTGCTTCTTCATTGCACAATCTAACAATGCCATGATGGAGAAGACGTACTTCTGTGTCTTTTGTTATTAGTATATCAACATTGCGGGGCCTTCCATCATGCCACCGGGCTGGAAAGCCATACACGCTCAGCTGTTTCTCACTTTGTGTAAGCACTGGTGGGAGACAGTCGTGAAGAAACGACTTAGCCCTCTGATCCATGGCAGCGTCAATGGGTGCATAGTCAACAAGTTTCTTTATCAGGTGCTGCACCTTCTCCACAAACGCTGTTCGGCGAGCATCGATGGCATCTGAGTTGGCAACCCCCATGTACCCCAGGCAGTCCATGGGAAGCCCTTGCCGGTACTCAAGGTCCTCCTCCAGGGCCATCTGCAGTGCAGCAGGAAGAAGCTTCTCCAAGAAGTCTCCCCAGGAGTTCCTCTGATAGGAGGACACTGTAATGTGGAGCGAGTGTGCATCTGGCAGACAGTCGGCCTGGTGGATAAAGCCCCGGGGAAAGTATAGGAGGTCTCCAGCCTCCAGCACCACTTCCAGCAGGGGCTCACCGAGCTCCGCCTGCGTGAGGTTTGCACTGGAGAACTGGGGCAGTGCCTCTGAGCTCGTCCGGGGGCCGTAAATGCGCCAGTGCTTCTTGCCCTCCAGCTGCAGAACGAAGGCCTCAATGTCGTCGTAGTGAGGGGCGAAGCCCTGTGTGCCTGGTGGCGTGAGGTAGGTGTTGGCCCCAGCCATGCTCCCAAAGTGCTCCTGCAGGACAGAGAGGAAGTGCCAGACAGTGGTGGAGAAAGCCTGGGGGCTGAGGAGCCGCAGAGAGCACCCGTTCTGGTAAAAGTCCCAGACGACGGCAGGCAGCGCCCGGCCCACGGGGTTGTGCGTCTCCCGCACCCCCTCAGCATAGCTGGTCACGTCCAGGTGGGTCCCGAAGCGCACATCACCGCTGCGCAGAATGGCGTCGAAGTCAGCCGTGGAGAACAGCCCCGCGTAGTAGCCGGGATCACTCCGCTGCACGAGCAGCGGCGCCTGCTCCCAGTGCCGCCTCGCGAACTCCTCCGGTGCCACCGGTGCCACCAGCCACCGGAACAGCTCTGCCGCCCTCCGCCGGCTGTCCTCCAGCCGCCCCAGCCGCCGCAGCAGCCCCAACACGCCTCCGCCGCCCGGGCTCTTTGCGGGGCTTCCGGGCGGCTTTGCTTCGGGGTTCCCGACCGGAGTCTTGGCCCGCGAACCGCCCGAGATTGTCAAAGGGCCTCCGAGCGACTTGGTTTCGAGGTTTCCGGCCGGAGCGTTGGTCGCAGCTTTGGCCGGAGAGCCGCTCGGTTTCGTCTTAAGGTCTCCCTGCTTGGCTTCGGGGCTCCCGGCCCGCTCCACGCGGTTGGGGACGGCGGCGCTCTGCGGCGGCGCAGCCCACTCCGGACCGCCTCCTCCTGCCGCGCCACGCCTCAGCCGCGCTTTATTCCGCTTACCGCCCGCAGGCAGCGGCGTCCCGCGGAGGCGCCGCTCCAGTCGCCCTGGCCCCGCCGCCCGGCGGTACACCGTAAGCGCCGAGAGCCGTCCCACCCGCTGCCTCTCCTCCGCGCCGCACGCCGCCATGGCCGCCACGCAGCCCCGCCCCTCCCGGCGCGGCTGCTTCCGGCGGAGGTTGGGGGATGAGTGGCGGGCCTCGCGGGAGCGCGGGCAGCGCAGGTTGGCCTCCGTTCCCCCGAACAAAGGGCTGCCTTGTCACGCCGTGTACCCTTTTGCCACGTTCGCTCCCCGCATAAGCGGCACGTTTGTCAGTCTGCGCTCTCTCCGTTCCTCCGCTGTGCTCGGAGCTCGGAACAGAATGGCGGTGCCGGCCCTCTGCTCTCAGTGGCTGCCGAAGCGGGAGAGGAGAGGCGCCGTGCCCGCCGGGCGCTGCTCGGGAGCGCGTGGAAAATGGCGCCGCGTTTATACGTGGGTGCGTTTCTGATCACGAGCAGATTTCAGGAGCAGAGACTCGCCGTACGGTGCTTCCGTGAGAGGAATCTCTGGCGGACTCAGAATTGCGGCAATGGATTTTGCATGGGAGATGTATCTCCGGTGACTCCGTTAGCCCCGGGTGTTTAAGGAGCAATTACCCACGCGTGCTGCTGGTTCATAGAGGTGGCGTTACCCTCACGTAGACCTGAATATCGGCGTCTGCTGAACGTAAATAAGCAGCTAATGCTCCCGGGGCACGTGCAAGTCGCTTGCGTGCGCCACGCAGCGTAAATAACAGGCCTGGGCCGGAAGGAGAATTCGGACCCGACGCTCCTGACCTCCCTTGGGCATCGCCAGGGTCTCCGCCGGCAGCCTGCAGCGGCCCGGGCTCACGGAGCTCTGTTAGAGCTGCGCGGCGGTTCCCGGGGCTCCATGCCGTGCCGTGCCGGCAGGTGGCAGGACAGCTCGGCGCTCCGCAATGCCGCTCCGCCCGCCGCCGCGTGGGGAATGCCCTCGGCGGGGTTACTGCCGCGGGTGGGGTTCCAAATGGGAGGGAAGGGAAAGCGGGCTGCGCGTCCGTGTGCTGTGAGGGAAGGGAGGGGTGAGCGCTGCGTTTCAAGCCGCTCTTTGTTTTCCAAGGTTAAGCCCCGCTTACCAGAATAATCTTATCAGCTGAAACCGTATCGGCGGAGCTGGGCCCTGCACAAAACCAAGATGCAGCAGCTTTGAAATACAGTAGAAGTTTGGCTATTGTATGCTTAAATTGTATGTAAGCATGGCTAAGTAGGCTTTGGGGGCAAAAAGACCTTTGAAATCTCCGGGCTTGTGAGGTGTTGTTTGTGTTACTGTTTAATTTACTCAAGTGTAAACGTTTCTCAGAAGCTGAGTGCTTGTGCGGAGCCTGACCTGAGCTGCTCTGAGCAGTGGCGCTGAGTCCAGCAGTGCTGTCCTGGGTGTTTATCAGCCCGCTGGGTTCAAAGTCTCACTCCTGGGCTCAGATCTTGGCACAGATGTCTCCTTCTGATGCTGACAGATAGATGACTGCCATTGGAGTTCTTGATGTGTAACGAAGTCCCAAAGTGAAGGATGTGGTAGTAAATAAGGGTAGTGAGATCTGTGTAACACATTTCTTCTGACAGTTGAGCCTTTCTGATAGTAGAGGCTTTCAAGAAAGAAGCGTGTTGCTATTTTTTCTGTGCCACATAAGAAAGGATTTTGACCTAAGGCACAAAGAGGGAGCTTTAATATCGCTTAAAGAATACTCAGATGGTTGTCTAGGAATAGCCAAAAGGTCTCCATGCTGTTTCCATTCATTGTCCGATATTTCAAGGGAATTTGTCATAAAGAAAGTAGTGTGTCACGTAAAGCTCTTTAAATAAACATAGGGAAAGTAGCACAGATCTTTGCATGATTAGGTGGTCCCCAGCTGCTGCTCATATAGACATAGTAGCAACTGGAGGCTCAGTTAAGTGTCTTAATTAGAATTTAGCACAAAGTCACTGAGATGTTATCAGTATATAGACTGCACTGCCAAAAGCCACACACATTTTATTTAAGAGGACATAAAAAATGTGTGCAATACAACTCATTAAAAAGTCACAAATGAATTCAGAAGAAGTAAGGAAATGGCACCTCAAAGAGATGCAGGGCTTATTTGATGTATTACCCTTTTACCACTTATGATTCAAAGAATTGAAATCTTAAATTTGAAGAGCAGATCATATAAGGCCTGATCCTGCAGAGCTGTGATCCATCTTTGCTGGTAAGTGGAAAAGGTAAAATTCTTTGCACGATGAGGCTTATTCCACAATTTTCCCTTCTCTGTTCACCACAATGCACACTGCCCGGCACATTCACTTTGTCCCTGGCAAACTGCTAATGTAAATCGGTCACTTTTAGAAAGTTAAACTAGGTTTAATCCTTTTTCTCATGATCATTTTGCTGGCAGCCTTCTTCTTGCACTGTCGGTTTTGTTCTTGTGCCAAAAGCAATACCCAGTAAGGAAAAAGAACATTTCAAGCCTTCACTAACAGGTTTCCTCAACTAGAGCCCTGACAGTCTTTCTCATACAGCCCAATGACATCCAGTATGTCATCACTGGAAGGACACTGGGCAGGATTGTGAAGCCTGCTCCTCTTTGTGAAAGCTATAAAGTTCACTGCCAGATAACAAGACTAAAAGCTAATTCAGGAACTGTTTCTCAAGAGCTATCCTCTGGGCTGCTCATCCGAGTGAATGCATTCACTCACTGAAGCATCTCTTGGCAGAGATTTTGGCCTATCTCCAGCTGTTTCTCTTTTCTCAGTGATTTTCTTATTTGGTGACTGGTTGCGGTCTTTAATCCTGGTTCTCTGGCACACAGAGCCCCACTGAGAAAATAAGCCTTCCCTGCCATGCAGTAGTCCAATTAAAACAAGTTTATAAAAATAATGCTTACAAGATCCAGGCTGCCCTATGAAATTATCTTTTTGGAGGGAACTGGAAGCACAGATATATCCTCTCATCCTACGTGACACTAAAATACACTCTTTGTAACTTGAAGCTGAAATTACATAAAATATTTGAGTAGGACCTTCTACTGAGCTGTCACCTCATTCCTACTGGGATCACAGGGCTTACTTTGTAAGCATTTTGAAAGCATTTTCATGAGGGTTTTTTGTGCTCTTAATATATGTCATCCAGCATGTGGTAGCGCTGAGCAGATACCATCTGCAGTGACTCCGTGGGCAGTGACTAAACACAAAGCTGCAGACTCTGAGACTCCAATCTTCTCGCTTTTCAGCAGGAGGAGAAAAGTAAACGGCCATGAAAATCCATGTCATAAAATGGAAGCAAAGAGAATCTGAATGAAGTATTTGCCCTGTAAGATTACTCACACACAGATGATTGAGATAAAAGGGATAGTCAGACTGTTCTGCATGCATCGTGTGTCTGGTGGTAGAGAATATGCTTTGCACTGTACAGAGCTGGCTCTTGGCGAGCTGTTTGGGTGAGGCTTCTCTGTGGAAGAAAGAATATAAAGAATTCTTACTATTCAGATCCTTGCCTTATTATGATAACTGCAAAGCGTTTTACATTACCAGTATATATGCCCACTGTTTCAAAAGGAACATGTAGCAGTTCTGATGTATAGTAGTGCCATTCAGCAGTTGGTTCTCTGGTACATTTCTCATTTTCAGAAATCATGCAAAAATCTTCATCTCATCTTTCATGGTAAGTGGGCAAAAAAAAAAAGCTGTACTGATTTTTTTCTGAGGCATTCTGAAGTCACTCCCTCATCTCTGACGCAGCACCACCAAGATGGCAATGTCCATACAAACAGGATGTTTTGGTTTAGCAACCATATTGTTCAGGTCTGCTCACTGAACAACAGGAGAAAGCCTGCATGTAACACTTTGTTTTTTACTTCCCATAGTAGATTTGTATTGCTACTAGAGGCACTCTTTTTGAAGTAGTTTTGAACATTTTCAGTGCTCAGTCACACAAAAAAAACTCTCACATTTTACCTCTGATGTCAAAAAGGTGGAATTCCTCTGGGGTGAGTGCAGTTATAGCAACATAAAAATGCTTATGTTGTAGTATTTATACTGGTATGGCTTGTTCCTAGAAGGAGTAGTATTACAGTGCGATTAGAGAAGGGAGATTTAATCGCCAACATTGTTTTAGGTAGCCAATAGGAAGGGATGATGTTAAGCCTCTGGGTATCTGCGCTGAGGACATGGAATTTGTATTATCATGAGCGTGTGTGTAATATACTCTCAGCTCCTTAGGGGATAGCAAACTATCCTGCTGTCCCAGTGAGACCAGAAAGGATCTTGTCTAAAATGGTACCGCTATCAGGAGCTCGTGGGCACAACATACACAGCCAGCTCCACAGAATGCTCTTCTCTTAAAAGGTGGGAAAGAAGCAGTAGGGCTGGATATCTTTGATGTGCTATCATGTCTCTTCCATTTCTTTGTTACTAAAAAAAAATAAAGCACCCTGAAGCCCTGCTTCCAATATAAGACCTTGGAGAACTAATTTTCATCGCAGCTCTGTGCATGAAGACTGACTGTACAGAGAGAGACCCACAGGTCAGTGTAGCAATTGTGCCTTTTGCTGTGTTGGATGCTCAGCTGATTCTGTTAAGGTAACCTCTAGGGTCATCTTCCTTTCCTTTCCCGCCAAAACAACCCCTTTCCCTTTAGTCACCGATGACTATATGGGGAGCTGGGGAGATACAAATAGCTGAGCAGACAAGTAGTATAGCAACAAATCAAATTAAATCTCTAATAAATATTTGTGAAAGCTACATCTAGCTGAAGCACATACAAGAACTTTAGTTATAATAGGATGTCCTATCCTTTTCTTTACCTATCCTCAGATCATTCTCATTTAAGAGCAGAGTGTCTTTATAATACAAAGATGCTTAGAAACTGCTTAGAAATTGAAGTGTAATGTACCATGCTTTATCAAAAACATTGTCACAGGCCCAGAGGTATAGAATATTATGAAGAATTAAACCAAAGTCATGGGGAATGCAACATATTAAAGGCTATGCCAGGTCAGAAATGATTCCAAGTTTTGTAACTACACAGGATCTTCGGGCTGGTAGAAATGTCTGCCTAGCCATTTTGGGACACTGGCTGAAACGTCGCTGCATTGTGCTGCTGTCTGAGAGCAGCACTCTGAAAATATCAGAGGCAGCTGTGAGAAGGAGAGCAGCTATTTGCTTTGGTTTTGCATTCTGAGCAGAGTGGTGTGAGATGTAAGAATATTTCTTAGTTTAATTCTCAAATGTGGTGACTTGAGGGACAGAGCATCAGTCTGAAACTGAGTTTGGGTCATCCTCCTGCTTCTGTCCCAGCACCTCCAACATAAATGATTTTTGCACACGGTGTTTTGAAATGAGCACTGATTCCAGTTCCCTTATGTTCTGTTCCGGTGTGTGCCAGATCACATTATAGCCCATGTTCTTTGTCGCTCTTTCTTCGCTTGATTCAGGAACAAAGAGGAGCATGGGGTACTGGTGCATGCAGGGAGGAGATAGTGGAGATAACGAGATAATGATCCAGAGAAACCTTAGGTAATCTTTGCATTTCGATTTCCCGAGGTGTTGTGTTTGTTGGTTTATTTATTTATTTATTTGCTTATTCATTTCCCAGCTGAATGCTGCAGGACCTATTTCAGCTTGCACTTTGGATCAAGTAGCCATTCGAATGCCCGGTGAGAGGAGGCAGGGGCTGGGAACAGTCAGCCCAGGTAAAGTGCATCAGCCTGACCGGATAAGAGCTGTCAGCCTTGGGGTGTCTGCCATGTGTGGCACAGCCTCCCTGCTTTGAAAGCAGTGGCACGCCTGTGCTTTTTTGCACTGGGGAGGGAGGCCGGGGGACAACATTTTGGGCCTTAAGAGTGGACCGCTCACATTTTCCCTGTAACCCAGACTCCAGCTGATGGAAGACATCTGTGGAGAAAATGGTGCATTTTATCGTGGCCAGTGTGGAAGGAAGTGGTTCTTAGGGGCGGCTGACTGGGTAACTGAGGGGTAACCTGGAGTGCCACTGGGCCCTGCGGCAGCACTGCTCTTCCACTCGGCCCTACCAGCTGCCTCCGCCATGCTGCCGCCGGCCCAGGGCTCCCCCTGCGTGGGCCTTTTACAGCCCTCACACGGGGAAGGCACCCGACCTGCGGAAAAGCCAGGACAGCGATAGCGAGGGATGCTTCTGGCAACACGACGCTCCTTGGCCCCCCTCCGCACGGCTGCCGCAGCTGACATCTGCCCGCAGGGGTGACTGCTTTTGTAGGGAGGGAAGGAAGCCGACGGCACAGCGAAACCCGAGAGCCGTTCTGTGCAAGGCAGGGCCGCGCTTGTGGGGCTGCCGCACTGCCCTGAGGGTCTCCAGGCCTGGGCTCGGGGGCAGGAGGCAGATTTGCGCCCGGGCCGCTGCAGCAAAGCCCCCGCCACAGCCCGGACGACGCCCGCTCAACCCCCACGTACCCCCAGCTGCCCTCAGCCCCAACGCGGCCTAACGCCGAGCGCGGAGGCGGGCCCTCAGCCGTAGCTGGCACCTCCGGCAGCCTATCGCGGCTCTCCCTTTCACCGCCTCACCCAATCGGGAACGGCAGAATAGAGTGGGGGCGCCAAAGCCCCTGAGTGAATAAAACACTCGGGGGCCCGTGGGCGGAGAGGGGCGGGGCCGGAGCTTTGACGGGAAGCGGCGCGCGGCCATCCCAGGGCAGAGCGACGGGAAGGGCGGCCAATGGGCGGCTGGGATGGGCGTGGCGGGCGGCGGGGACGGGAGCCGCCGTGGGGAGGGGGGAGCGGCGGCGCCGCTCAGTGGCGACGGGCGGCCGAGGAGGCGCCGGAGGGAGGTGTCTGCGGCCGGCAGGTGAGCGCCTCTGGGCCGCGGGGCGGGGTGAGGCCGGGCCGGAGCCGCGGCGGGCGAGGGGCCGCGGGGGGGATCGCGGGCACGGGGCGGCGGAGCCTGAGGGGATCGGCGGGGGGGCACGCGGGCGGCGGCGCCCCGGGGAAGTATGTGAGGGGCCGGGGGAGGCGGCGACGCCCTGCGGCGCCCGCCCTGGGGCGGGGGGCCGCGGGCCGGGCACGGGGTGGGGCGCCGAGCGCGGCGCAGGTGGAGCCGGCGGGGGCGGCCGCGAGGGCCCGGCGGCGAGTGGAGAGACCCCGGAGCCCCTAGCCCCGTGGAGCGGCCCGCGACGTTTCCTGCTCCTCCGCAGGCTGCCCGAGCCCTCATCCGGGCCCGGCGCCCGGCCGAGGGTCCGCCGCTGCCGCCCGGCCCGCGCCGCTTTGCAGCGGCCCCGGTGCGGACCGGCAGCCCTCAGCCCTTCGACCCCGGCCCGGCGGGGTGCCTTCGCCGTGGGGCAATCCTGTGGGGCCGAGGCGCCCGCCGCTCGGTTCGATGCTCGGTCGGAGCTGTTGGAGCGGCCCTCGAGGTGAGGATCGTGTCTTCCCACCTGGGAGCGCGGCTCTCGGCTTCGCCTTCCTGCGTGGAGCAGCTGCACAATGGGAGCTGTTATCGGGCAGGAGGCGGCGGGGATGGGCGAACGACAGCGTGCGGCTGGGGCCGGAGGGAGCAGCGGGCAGCCGCTGCCCGGCATCGTTTTCAGGAGCTGAGGGAGGGTTAAGCACGGCTCCTGTTGAGAATGTGCTTAACTCATTTTATTCCATTGATGGAAATGAGTCGTCCTGGTGAGCAACGTGGTGCATCCCTGAGAGGAGAGCCCCTGCTTCGCAGCAGCCCTGCTCTGAAGCTCCCTCGGCCCGGTGGGTTTATGTAACCTGCTCATTAGTGCTCCGTGAAATGATTAGGGAGCTCTTGCTCTGATTCCTATTCAGTGTGTGTGTTACTGCGTTATCGAGGGTATTGTCAGTGCTTCGCGATCCAGCCGTCTGGACTGGGAGATGCTTCTAACCACCACAGCGTCTGGCTGTAATGTCGGTGGATTTGGTTTTGTGGTTTTCATTTTTGGCTTTCTTGCCTCTCTAGCTGAGGTCCAGCATGGGGGGCTGAGACGGAAGGCACAGTCATTCCGTTTGGCCGGAGTACTACCCTTGCTATGGCTTGTAGAAATAGTGTAAATATTGAAATGGATTTCTGACTCATCACTTCTATTTGACTTATTGATCTATGGTTACTGCTAACACGCTCTCTACGATTATGCAGAAGTTAATAGTTACCATAGAGCAGCAGAATTGTTTTTCTGCTCATTAGTGTGTTTTCCATTTCTTCATCTCTTGGCAATTCTCTGTGGAAATGTTGCTTTTTTTTTTTTTTTTTTTCTCCCTAGCAAAAATGTCATGGAAGGAATACAAAAAATAATGTGAGCAAAGTCCAAGAGAACAAATGTGAGATGCGTTCATCCTCGCCCGTGATTCTTAAGTTGTTTTGATAGCCTGGGTTATGCGACGGTAAACTGTTTCATCTGTAGCTGAGTAAGGTGTTGGTTTTCAGGCTCAGTGAAAACTCTGATTTGTACAGCTCCAAACATAACACATCAAAGAACTTTTCTTTCTTTCTAAAGCCTAAAGTAGAAATGCAATTGAAATAAAATATTTAAATCCTTACTAGCTGAGAACTTATTTTTCAGCCTGGAAATGACTTCCCTGCACTTATTACTGCTCTCAAGTTTGTGGAAGATGAAGACGCTTGTAAACTAGGCAGAGTAGACAAATTTATCTCTTATTTTGGTGTCATAAAGCCCTCTGGCATTGCACTAGTAGTTGACAGCGTTATGCGTTTAGGAAGAAGAAAAACAAACCAACAAGCCACACTGGGCTCTCAGAGCTCACTAGACCCCCAGCATTACGTTTTGTAGCATAGTTTAGCTGCTTGGTCTTGGAATGATCTTTAAGTACTCCGGTAATGGGAGTGGTGAGTGAAGAGCTTGCTGAAATAACAGTAAAAATGCATGGAAAAGTACTTACCTCCCCAGTGATAGGGGCTAGAAGGAATACATGCAGCTTTAACAGTGTTCTTAACACTTGCTTCAGCGCTCCATAGGGCTCTTGAATTCTGCTTGTAGCTGGCTGTATTCTGCTACTAATACTGGTGAAGCTGCATAATATATAAACAAAAACAAACAAACAAAACCAACGCACCAAGTTGTCCTAATGTTATAGAAAAATAAGTCTTCTACCTCTGGAAAAGATGTTCTGCAGAACCTTGATGGTGAGGGATTCTTGTGGCAGTCTGAGCTCGAGCAATTGTACTCATCTGACCCTCTGACCTGGTATTTTTTTCTTTTTTAGAGTAGATCAGATGTTATTATAGCATTTTGTTAAGCAAGCTTGGTTTACGCTTATGTGAAACTGGAACTTTAATGTTGATTTTGAGGTTCCTTCAGCAGTGAATACATTGAAATTATAGATACTTGTTCAATCCAAGGATCTTGATTTTGCTGAGTGACATCAGAGCCTGTTGCCTTTCTGTAGAAGACTGAGCATGAACCTGCTCATGCTAAATGTTCTAATGTGTCCTCCAGGGCACTGCCACCAGAACAGATGTCTCTAGTGGTACTTTCACCAAAAAGAATTATTCATTTGTCACTCCCTCTTTGCTAATCCAGCTGAAAATGGTGGTACAGAAAAATATTTGACTTCATCTGGATCGGCTGCCTGAACAGGCTGTCTGCGTGGCTGTGTGAATGTTACTGCCTGTATGGGGGAGGAGGTTGTGACCTCGTCTCTGAAGCAACTCTCCTAGGTTTGCCTAAGCTCGCCTAGAAACTTGGCAGTTTAAACTGGGGCTGCGGTTGTTCATCCTCCTTCCTGTCCGTGCATCTTTCCATGCTGGCACGGGAGTCTTTGTGTCTGGGAGTTCAAGTCCGGGAGTGAAGTCAAGCTGGTGTAATGAATTGCTTCTTGCTCTGTTAGGTTTTGGCTGGATCGTGTTTCTGACCATTGGCTCGGTGAGGATGGTGGTGGGAGGTGGGGCCCTGGGTTGATTTAAATTTGCTTGAGGTTTTTTTGGATCTTTGCCCTTCTATCAAATCACTTGGGTTAGCAAAGACCTATGGCAAATTATTTTATGTTGACTTGGCTGATGGAAACTCATACTGGAAAAAGTTCTTCCATTTTTCCCAGTGATGCATTGGTGTGGGCGGGAAGGGCAGCAGCCTCAGAGTGACACAGCTGTGTCTGGGAGAGGATGTGCTCATCTCAGCTGCATCATTTTGATGTTCTTTACAGTGTGTAGTCAAGGCAGATGTTGCATCAGGAATGAGGACTTTCCTAACAAGATCAGGAGGATTATTCTACCATGCAGGAGGCAGCACTCTTCCTTTTTTTCATTGACTAAGACTTATGCTCGTGAGTTTATCAGTACTAATAGACTGCTATCAATCTGGAAGTACAAATGGCATCACATCATGTTAACTGCTGTTGCACGTCCATCCAGAATCCTTTTAACTGTGTTGAAGGAGGTAGATCTGCGAGAGCTGCAGTTGCTCCCCTCAGCGCTTGTCCTTGCTGAGCCATTTGCACAGTTGTGATGTTTCATAGTTACCAAACCTGATGTTTCTATTAGTGATTTATGCATGTATGTCCTCTATTTGTGCAGTGTTGTGACGGAAAGGCTGTCATGACAAATGATTTGTATATGAGGCGTTGGCTGACATAGGATTGGGGATACCAAACTGTGAAGAAAAAGTGGAGCCACACAGCAGAGTTTGAGGGTTCCTTGTTTTTGGCTTCCTTGGGTGCCAAAGCTGTAGGATTCTTGGGCTGTGATGTTGAAGCCAGACCTAAAATTCTTAGCCTTCTAAGTAAAATACTATTTGGCTTGGTGATACTTTGACGTTCCCAAGGCTTGCAGTTGGCTGATGGGCACTGTGTGCATAGCTGCTGAGCTCAGTTACTGCCTTTGCCTTGCGAGCGAGCGCTTCATGGCTGTTAAACTCCTGGGTCTCGGGTTAGCTAATAGCTCTGTGTTGGTTTTAGGTTTTGATGAGGGTAGTCTGCTTTCAAAGACTTCATCAAAGAATTCATCAGCTGTCGAAGTGGGAATCTGGGGGAGCATGGGAGTTGGTTCCTTGGAACAGAAGGATGGCACGAATAGAAGCTGGGTTGACAATTCCAGTCAGTCAGTTCTAAACTAGTAACTAATGATGAAGGGGTTGGGGTTGTGCTTTGCGTTTGCATGATATGAGAGGAAAGAAAGTATGTACTTTCCTTCTAATGTGCTTAATGGAAATCTTCCAATCTTGTTCTTGGATGTTTTTCTCTGGAGCTCGTTCAGTTTGTTTTGTAGAAACTTCACTGCTTCCTTTGCTTTTTGCTCTAATATTTGTCTCTTGCTCAAGCTGTCAACCTGAGTTCTGTAGATAATGGTCATGGGGTGCTCCTGCTCATCAGACACCAGGTGATGCCCACTCGATTGGTGCCGATCACTGTAACTGCTGCTGAGCCATCTCAGCAGGGAGAGAGATTAATGTGCAGCCATTTCCCCTGGTGTGGATATGTGGAGAGCTTCACTAATATGCTTTTAAGGATGTACTTTTTTTTTTCCTGGTTGTTTTGTTGTCAAAGGCTGCTTAATGTGATCTTGTGTTGGGCTGGGGGGATGGAGGGTCAGTTTATTCCAAATGCCTTTCAACATGGATTTTCCTACGTAAAGAGAGCCTGTAAAAAAGCCGCTGGGTCTGTGCAGCCGGGCAGCCCAGTGGAAAGTCAGCCTCGTGCAGGCAGGTGAAGGGCTGCCACTTAATCAGCCTCTATCTTTTTGTCCAAGTATTAATCTATATCCTTCTGTAAAGTACTTGTCGTTGTAACAGCCTTTTCATATTTGGTTACACGTTCTACATTTAAGCTGTGTTTTGGATTTAATATATGCAGTCAGTGCGTAGAAGGCAGTCTGTAAAATTCTCGTGATGCCCTTTGGACAAAGGCCTCGCGTTACTGCAAAATCTGGGCTGCTTATCGTTGTGTTTACATGTCTGTAATAGGGTTGTGCAAGATCAGTTTTCTCTTCAGGATTTGATTTGTTTGAGTAAATTCTGAGATGGCCTGAGGGCTTCTCTACCAGTTTGGGAGGAGCGGGGTTGTCCCTGTGTTTGGTCATTGCTGTGCCATCCCGAGGAGCAGTGGCATGTTTAGGACTTGTAGGATTTCCCTCGGCCCTTTTCCAACTGGAATGCTTCATGACTGATTTTCATAAGAAGTTCTCAAAGTCAAAGAGCCTTCTGAATGATGTCGCCCTGATGTTTCTTTTCCTCCACACTGCAATATAAAAGTCTGGCTGCACAAAGGCATAAAAGAAAGGCTTGTGAGATTGTTTTAGCGCAAACTTGAACAGCCAAAATAGGTATTTATTTGTTGTGGTGCGCTGGGACGTGGCTCTTTAAAGATGTGTGTGCATAACATTGCCTGATGAATTTCCTCCTCCTTTCAAGTACAGAATTTGTGCCTCAGAAATGGTAATTCTTGCTTGAACACTGATGTCCATTAGCTGTTGGCGTGTGTGTGATACAATTTCATGTTGGTTACCTCACATTTCTGACATAACTCATCAATTTTATTTTGGGATGAGATCAGCTTTTCTCTGTTTCATCCTTGCTTTGGTCTTTGTTTGCTTTGCATACAGGAGGTTGTTCCCAATGTGGTTTGAGTACCCAGACAGCCTGTGGTATTTTGCTCGGGTGCAAACTGGAAATATAACGACTTGCCTACACTATTTGTTGACTTTTAGCTGAGGACCCAATTCCGCACATCTTATAGAGTAAACATTGTCATTCAGGTGAAAAACAATTTGGCTCCAGCACATTGCAGTTTAACGGTTATGAAATTGGTGTTTTAATGCTGTCGATTTACTTCTTCCCTCCTTGTGTTTGAGGCAGTGCTGAGCATACAGGTACACTGAATGCCGTGAGGTCCTGGGAAGTGTTACTCTTGTCACACTACTGCTAAGGATGATAAATAAGTTGATCAAAACAATGTGTTTTTTTTTTTTTTTTTTTGATGAAATTCAGGGCAAAATATCTGAGTGAGTCTTAATTTCCTTATTCCTCAATTTCCTGTCTTAATTTCCTAATAATGAACTGCAGTTCTTTGCTAGGAACCAGTGTGTTCACTTAGTAGGAAAAAGATTTTCCACAAAACATCTTGCCTTCTCCTATTGAATGTCGTGTCTGATCTGTAGGAATTTGGCTGATTGGACAGTTCATCTCTCTTTCATCTCTTATGTTTCACAACAAAAATCCCCAAAGTTTAGCTGCAGTTAGGAAACTTAGGAATTGTGATGTATGGTGGAATTGTCCAAGATGCTGGACCGTGGCTGATCTCTGGTCTCTTGCTGATAGCTAAGCTGCTTGCCCGCTTTGCTGGATTTCCACTTTGGAGCATGACTCGAACCAGTCCTGGGATCCTGTCTTGAAACCGTTCCTGTCCAGAATGTGTCTCAATTGCTTTGGCCTGGTTTGCTTTCTGCATCATTTTTGTTTGTTTTGGTGGTTAATTCTCACTCTGCTTTTCAGGTAAGGCCCTGAGTGATTAGTAAGGGCCCACATTAAGGTTGCTCCTGTATGCATTCTAATTTGTAGGAACTCAGCTTAATAAAAAATGGTTTCTTTTTTGTTTCTTTCCAGGTTTGTTTTCAACAGCATCAGTTCCCTGTTTCCACTTCTGCAAACTCTAGTACTGGAGCTGTGGGTGGGGGAGACGGCACAGAGGGGCTGTGCTGTTGCTAAAAGGAAGTGACACGGATCCGGTGCATACTGCCCATGGGGCTGTGAGCTGGCTCCTTCTGGAAGTGGTCCTGCCTGCCTCACCCTCACCTGGGTCCATCACCCATCAGAGGTGAAGATTGTGCACTCAGCAGCTCTTCCCTTGGCGTTCCCTCCAAATGCATAAGTGATGCCTGCATAAGAGAGAGGCCACTGATAACTTGGTACAGGTAATGAAAGTTGTGTGCCTCTACTGTAGAGAGGAGTCTGTAGTTATGCTCTCGTGGGCAACCAACTACTGGTTGTCTTGCCCTAGGACATAGTTTTCATTGATGAGAACACATCTCAAAATTGCTATAGTGTTCATGACTACACCATTATCATACCTATTACTAGTAAATAGCAAGATGTTATCTGAACTAGCAGGGTTCTGTTCATAGCTTTACTCTTGGTTCCCACTGCAGTGTATAACAATCCATCGACTTGCATAATACCTTGAGAAGTAGGGATTTCTGCAAGTAAGGGTTGCACAGCTCTCTACCTGCAAGTGAATAGTAGTGATTGCATGAATCTCTCTTTTTTTTCTTTTAACTGCATTAGATCACATGGGAAATGGAACCGGTTGGAGTAGACAGAATATAGGCAAATGATAAGATAATTGGTGATTGTGATGATACAGTTATACCTTGCTAATGATAATGGTACTGTAGCGGGGAAAGAAAAATCTGGTCTTGAGATCTTCCTACCTTTAGATCTCCAACAATGAATAAAAAGCACATTTCTTAAAGGAGCTAGGCAATAGGGTGGCTAGTTTTTTTTTGTTTCCCTCACATATACATGATTGCCTCTGGCTCCAGTTATATCTGGAAATGTACAAACAAGCTTATTCCAATCTCCTTAATGTGGCTTTTACATGAATGATTGCTTGTTACTCAGTTTACTGCTTTGGTGTTTGGTTTGGGTAAATTCTACATAAGCTTCCTTTCTCCTCTCAAAGATGGTCCTGCAGATTTCCTAATGCACATCATTCACTGTAAGACCTATTGTATGGATAAAAACTGATTAGTTGCAACTGTGTGCCTTTTAGCTTTGTGAAATAACTAATGATTTGTTTACTCGTCTATCTGAGAGAGCATTACATCCGGTCTAGTTCTGTGCAAAGAGATACTAGATCAATCTGCTGTGAATTGCTGTCCCAGTTTCTTCAGTGGGAAGGGACTGGCATCTGCCAGCTTTACGTCATATCATCCCCACGTCCTGAGGACTGCTGTTTTGTGTTAGGTGTAAAATAGCTGCAGCTGCTGTGCTTGGAAATTCTGATCGGCATTACTTCCATCTTCCAGGGCTTGTTTTCAGATACACTTGGTTACATTTTGGAATATCATGAAACTATAGGTTTTTTGTTTGTTTGTTTTTTGCACTGGATGTCCCTTGGTTTACCATGTGGTGCAGTGTTTGCAAGGCAGGTATGTCTGGCAGGACCTGCAACAATACTGTCCTAAATCTACAGGCATAATTCTTGGGACATACTGTTTACAGAAAGTGGGGAATGGTGCCAGTATGAAGTATGCTGGGAATTGCTTCTCCAGGCAGCTGTTTTCATGGAACTGTGACTAGCTCTTCCACTCAGCACTTAATGTCTTTCTAAAGCATAAGCAAAGCAGTTTGTTGAATCGTGGTCTTAGATCTCCACTCCTTATAGGCACATCAGAATGACTGAAAACAATTGCTCTTTTAGGAAGGTAGCAAGGATGGTGGTTGTTTGTTTGTTTGGTTTTTTTGGCATGTTTGTTTTTTTCCCACAGAGTACCACGTTTGGGGTTTTCTTCCTTTGCAAACATGTAATAGTCACTATCAGGTGCTGCTAAGGAGTATTGTTCAACAGGGTCTAGTTGGTTGTGTATGCTCCTGTTTTTTAATTCTTTTCTTTAAGGATGTAATGTTCTCTTAGTAATTCTGGTATGGAGTGTGCTGGCATTAATCTCATTCACGCTTAGGTGCTGAAGGCAAAGGCCTTATTTTGTTAAATTAGGTATTTTGTAGTTCTATGGTTGAGCATCTAATCATCTGCTGCTTTAAGTTTGGAAATAGGATACAGGTGTTCCTGGATTTTAATCTCGATTTTTTTTCTTTTCCTATACAGTTTGTAAATTCTTACTCCTTTCTAAAGATAGGAGCTCATATCTTCTTACCACCCTAACGAGACCCAGTAACATTTGCAAAAGGCTTAACCAAGAGAAGCGTCAGTAATGTATGTTGCTTTCTTACAGTTACTATTCTCTGATGGAGTTGGGATCATTTAAGGTCAGATACTTGGAAAATGTGTTCAGTTGCTGATGAGTCTGTAACATGGTTCTTTACACTCAGTCTTGTCCAGAGCAAAGTTAAGGAAGTTCTTCACATACGTGTAAATTTTCTTATGACTCATCTTTCTTGGAACCGAAGTGTTCTTTACTATTTATCTGAAAGGTGTCACAACATTTCCTTTTAATGTACTTGCAATTCTCCTTAATTTTGTAGTCAGTTTTTGTGGCCTTTAAGCAGGTAGCAGAACTTTTCTTCAGCTGTGACTAGTAGAATATCTTGCTATCTAAAATTCAAGTTAAGCAGCAGGAGAGGCAGAACAGCAGCAGACTGAATAATTTCGTTTGATCAGTTAAATAAATCCAGCGTGTAGCTCTGATTTAAAATTGAGTTTTTGTGAAGAATGTTCGAGAAGAATGTGAACGTTGTGAAAAAACTTGGAGAAAATCGTATGTGCTTCCAACATTAACTGTTACGTTCCTGGCATGCCAGACTCAGAGTTGAGAGTCATGCTTTGTTTTGGTTTTTTTTTGTTTTGATACATAATGGAAAGTTATGCATGCAAAAATGTCATTGAAAATCATATTTACTGCTCAGCAAACAGAATAGAGGCAATTCCCCAAACCTTACTTTCTATGGTTAAGGTGCCAGGCTAATCTGCAAGATGTTTATAATGCTCAGGATTTAGGATTGCAAACCTCATTTGAAGTTTATCACCTTTCTGTGGTTCACAGGTTGTTCTTTCCAAAATACCATTGAAGGAGGTGGCGTGGGAGCCTCTGCACAAGGCAGTAGTATGACATTCACAGGAACAGCCCAGGATGCGAGCTCTAAGCTCAAAATTGAATTTCCCCAGCAAATGCAGTTGGCGAACAAAAACATCTTATCCTGGCAGCGATGCTACTGATGATGTCCAAAGGGAGCCCTGGTTAGCTCGTATTATTTGCAGCCTATTTGTCACCACTGAAGGAGGAGAATTTCTGTGCTGATTATGTGCTTCTGCAGCATCTCTGTGTTTGATTCCTTGGTAAACCATAACCATTCATTCAAACATCAGGAAACTAAACCAGGAAAAGAGCAAATCTTTGTGATTTGCTGGTGTGGTGAGCTGAATCAAGAAGGTTGTTTGCAGCTGGTGGTTAAAGCTGGGTCTCGTTCCTATGTAGAGTGAGCATGCTGCTGGTTTTGGGCATGGTAGGAGAGTGAGAAGGTCATTTGTGTTCTGAGAGGGAAGTTGTGCAAAGCAGCAAACCAAAGAAGGAATTGCCTGTGGAAAGTCTGTATTTCAGTTTTTCATGAGGAGGAAGTGTTTTATGTCATCATTTCGAGGATGTTCCTCATTGCAGAAAATAGTATGGGATTTGCTGGACTTCAGAGGTAGAAAAGGGCAAGTGTGGCCTTCGAGCTGTTTAGCAGGGCACCCTGGGGGTGGTCCTGGGGGCTGCCTTGAGGCCCGGGTAGGGGCTTTTCTGAGGTCTTTTTTATGTATGGTTATAACTGTTCCTTGGCAGATGGGTTTTTGGTTTTGAATGTGGTTTCCTTAGTCATAGGGATGTCAGGAGGGTGGTGGTGGGTAGCTACCAGCATTGAGGAGATTGGCCAAGTGCCACAGCTGTTTAGCCATGGCTAAAGCCAGCAAGTTTGGGGTTTGCATGGAAACAACCAGCTTAGAGAACCTGTGTTACACAAAGCCTCTAGCAGTGGCAAACCTAAGCCATGAGAGGAAGGAAGTTATTGCTTGCAGGTCCTTAATGTCTGTTTTTATCTCCGCTCATTGCTGCATGTCATTCCCTGTTCTTCTAAAGAGATGGAAGAACCTCTTGTCTGTGTGCCTGGGAAACCTCATTTATTTCAGGAACTGGTTCTTAAAACGCCGAGCTCAGTGAGCATTGATTTTTGAGATGTTGTAATGGAAACAAGTTATTTATATGTATGAGTGTTTGATTTTTTTTTTTTTAATCAGCTCTGTTTTCAGAAAGATTGAATCAGATCTGATAGGTTTTGTATTTCAGTGCTTCAAATCCTGAGCTACTGTGCATGCAGGTGCAGCCACTTCCCAGCAACTACTCAGTTCGATCTGTGAAATCCTGTGTTTTACTTCTTAAAGGTGGGAAGCTGCTCAGGTTGCCTGTCTGTCGTATTCAAGAAACTCGGTGTTTCTGTGCTCCAAAGGCACCAAGTCAGTACCTTTTTATGATGAGCCCTACTTACCTTTCTGGCAAAAGGCTGTAGCAGTGCCAGGTACTGTGCTGGGACTGGTAGTGTTGTCAGGCCTGAGTCCCTAGGGCAGCTCTGAATTCCTGACAAAATGAACTTGAAGGAGACCTAAAGTACAACTGAGCTCAATTCAGTTTAAAAATACATTGCATAGACCGATCATTTTGAGGTAAACACCTTTTGTATTTGTGGAAGAGCTGAAGAATTTTAGTCACGAAAGCAATGTAGTATGATTATAGACTCAGAAACACTAATTTGAGAAGGAGGAAGCGTTTAATTTCAGTCTGCTCCCGCCAACTTTCTGTAATACTCCATGCTGCCAAATGCCAAGTTGAATCATTGCTTCTAAAAGTTATTTCCAAGTAAACCTGCATTGTACCTGTGACTTAGCAGAAGAACCTGAATATTAAGTGTGCTTTGACTTTTCCTGGTGGAGATGGCTACTGTGTTTACTCAGCTGTACTTCAGGGCTTGATCCTTAACATTTGCATGGAATTTTCCTGCTGTTAGTTGGCACTCTTTTTTTTATTTTTATTTTTTGTTAAAAGAGTGGTGATTGAGCATTGCTGAGTGCAGGTCTGACTTTCCAAACAGGCAGAAAACAGCAGAGCTGAAAATACGTGGTTTCTCAGTTTGTTAAGCTTAATGAGGATGGCTGATGTAGAAAAATATTAATTGGATAATACACGTTTTTATTATGAGTCTGGTT